CATAATTATGACAAATTAATTAGTTTGAATATGTTTTTAGTCCATATATACCATTAAATCACCCAGTTTGTACGCGGGAACCCATCTTTAGGAAGATCCCACACAAAATTTGGCTAAATTTACCCTGAGCATGATTTGGTAGTAAACTTATAAAATAAATCTTGAAAAAAAAGCCAAAAACGTTGCTTTTTTCAGAATAATCTGTTGATTTGGAAAATATATGATTCATTCACCAACATGTGTCATATAACAGCAGCAGTAGAATGTTATTGCGAACATTTTGAGCCATATTCCATATCAATAGGTCAATCTGTGAAAGAGTTATGAAGGTTTCCTTGACCGCTCAATTGCAATGAAAAAATGGCGGCCATTTTTAAAGATGGTCGCCAAAATGGCATTAAGCAAATTTGAACACTTTGGGCACCAGGCTAACTGAAAATCATGGTTGAATTTATTCATCAAATTGGTGATGATACTCCGAAATCCAAGGTCTGCCACATGGACTATTGGGGCGTTTTCAAGATATTTGGGGTCAAATGAGGTCATTTGCACTGAAAGTGAATGTGCAGCCATTCTTATATATCATGTAAACATGGTGAAAATGATCGAAAGTAAACACTCTTTCAACCAGCGGCTGCCAGGCAGGATACGCCCACATTTTCGAGAGATGGATAGAGAACAAGCTAAAATGAAAGTGAATTTTTCCTACAATCAGGGGCCATAATTCAGTAAGTTACGGTCCGATATGCGCAAATATCGAAAGGAACCGAGATCTTTGGGTTATAAACTTACATTTTAAGTTTCAACAAAATCGGATAAAAATTGTGACTTCTATAGGGTTCACAACCTTGATATACCATATTTTTACGCTATTTGAGAACGAACAGCGGCCATTTTGTCTGTCAACTTTGGGCCGATTTTCACGAAATTCGAACTCAGTCGTCCTTAGGATGTAACGGTGATATAATAATACGTTTTTTTAAATCGGATAAATATTATGACCTCTATAGGGTCCACAAGCTAAAAACGCGATTTTTCGTACAATCAGGGGCCATAATTCAGGAAGTTACGATCCGATATGCGTGAATATCAAAAGGAACCGAGATCTTTGGGTAATAAACTTACATTTTAAGTTTCAACAAAATCGGATTAAAATTGTGACCTCCATAGGGTCCACAACCTTGATATACCATATTTTTACGCTATTTGAGAACGAAGGGCGGCCATTTTGTCTTTCAATTTTGGGCTGATTTTCACGAAATTCTACTCAGCCGTCCTTAGGGTGTAACGGTGATATAATAATACGTTTTTTTAAATCGGATAAAAATTATGACCACATGCTAAAAACACGATTTTTCGTACAATCAGGGGCCATAATTCAGGAAGTTATGGTCCGATATGCGCGAATATCGAAAGGAACCGAGATCTTTGGGTAATAAACTTACATTTCAAGTTTCAACAAAATCGGATAAAAATTGTGACCTCTATACGGTTCACAACCTAGATATACCATATTTTTACGCTATTTGAGAACGAAGGGCGGCCATTTTGTCTTTCAATTTTGGGCTGATTTTCACGAAATTCTACTCAGCCGTCCTTAGGGTGTAACGGTGATATAATAATACGTTTTTTTAAATCGGATAAAAATTATGACCACATGCTAAAAACACGATTTTTCGTACAATCAGGGGCCATAATTCAGGAAGTTATGGTCCGATATGCGCGATTATCGAAAGGAACCGAGATCTTTGGGTAATAAACTTACATTTCAAGTTTCAACAAAATCGGATAAAAATTGTGACCTCTATACGGTTCACAACCTAGATATACCATATTTTTACGCTATTTGAGAACGAACGGCGGCCATTTTGTCTGTCAATTTTGGGCCGATTTTCACGAAATTCGAACTCACCCACCCTTAGGGTGTAACGGTGACATAATAATACGTTTTTTTAAATCGGATAAAAATTATGGTCCACAAGCTAAAAACACGATTTTTCGTATTATCAGGGACCATAATTCAAGAAATTACGGTCCGATATGCGTGAATATCAAAAGGAATCGAGATCTTTGGGTTATAAACTTACATTTCAAGTTTCAACAAAATCGGATATAAATTGTGACCTCTATAGTGTCCACAAGCTAAAAACGTGATTTTTCGTACAAACAGGGGCCATAATCCATGAAGTTTCGATCCGATACATGCCAATATCGAAAGGAACCGAGATCTTTTGGAGATAAACCTATATTTCAAGTTTCGTCAAAATCGGATAAGAATTGTGACCTGTAGAGTGTCCACAAACAAATTGTGTGGACGTATAATAAAAATGTAAACTTGCTAAATTCACTTTTGTTCTTTGTGACCCCGGAGGTCAAAAGGTCAAATTTTCCATTTTTACACTAGGAAGATTTAAAGCAATAAATGTCAGCGAAAAATATAAAGATAGGTTGCCAGGCAACAAAACATACGCCCCCAGCAGCTAAATCGTCCGAGCAGTCGACAAGGGTTGTCACATATTTATTCTTTTGCAGGTAATTAGGGGAATTTAATAGAAAATTTCATACAGATGACATTATAATTTTCGTTGTTTGAAGGTTCACAAGGTTCTAAAAACTAAAACAAGGGCCGTAACTCTGGAAGCAATCTACAGAAATTGTTCAAATTCGACAGGCTTTTTTCGTTTTACTAATTCAAATAATGCATATAAATTTCATACAGATCGGATGATAACTTTTGTTGTTCGAAAGTTCACAAAGTTCAACAAAATAAATCAAGGGCCATAACTCTAGACGTAATTGACGGAAATTGATGACATTCAATAGGCTTGTTCTTCTTCATTTCATTAATTTAGGTGATAACTGAAACTCAATAGGCTTGTTAGTTTTACTAATTTAAATGATACATATAAATTTCATACAGATCGGATAATAACTTTTTTCGTTAGAGCATTTGCAAGGTACAACAAAGTGAAACAAGGGCCATAACTCATGGCGTAATTAACGGAAATTGCTGAAATTCAATAGGCTTCTTCATTTCGCTAATTTTAATGATGCATATCAATTTCAAACAGATCGGATGATAATTGTTGTCATTAGAGTGTTCACAACATTCAACAAAGTGAAACAAGAGCCATAACTCTAGATGTAATTAACGGAAATTGCTGAAAATCAATAGGTTTCTTTGTTTTACTAATTTAAATGATGCATATAAATTTCATACAGATCGGTTGATAACTTTTATCGTTAGAGCATTCACAAGGTGCAAAAAAGTGAAACAAGGGCCATAACTCCAGAAGAAATTAACGGAAATCGCTGAAATTCAATAGGTGTCTTCATTTCACTAATTTAAATGATGCATATCAATTTCATACAGATCGGTTGATAACTTTTGTCATTAGAGCGTTCACAAGATTTAACAAAGTGAAACAAGGGCCATAACTCTAGATGTAATTAATGGAAATTGGTGAAATTCAATAGGCTTCTTTGTTTTACTAATTTAAATAATGCATATAAATTTCATACGGATCGGTTGATAACTTTTGAAACAAGGGCCATAACTCCAGAAGAAATTTAACGGAAGTTATTGAAATTAAATAGGCTTCTTCATCGTACTAATGCAAACAACATATATCAATTTCAAAACAATCGGTTGATAAATGTAGTCTGTAGAGTGTTCACAAGAAATTGTGGACGAGGACGGACAGGCGGACGGACGGATGGGGGCGACGGCAATATACGACCACATTTCCATGTGGGCGTAAAAAAACTAAAGCGAAATCTGTTCTAATTAATAACAGGAACATTTAAAACTTATCTTTAGGTGGTCTTAGCACCGTACATAACAGAACCAAATCAAAATCTCCCCGATTTAGTTTAATAACAATTGTTATACATAATGGAACTAGTTGTCGGAAAAACAAGTGAATAGTTTGATGGTTGGAATCCAGCCTGCAGGCTGTGTCGATTTCCGGGAATCCCAATCTGGCAAAACCGACGTTAATCTGTGACCAGAAAACATGTATCTGACGGCGTGATTAAAAGTTTGCAAATTTTTTATGAGTTTTCATGAATTTCGTCGGAACATGGACACAGATAAAATCGATGGATGCATTGAACATAATAGCTCATGGGATATAAATGCCGTACTGGTAAGTGTTACCAGGGAAAAGTTTGGTAGGTTTCGTGATGTGGTCTGCAGGCTGGAGTCCAGCCATAAACTATTCAATTGTTTTTTTCGGACAAATAGTTTTATTATGTATAGCAATCGTTTTTTGAAACTAAATCGGAGAGATTTTGATTTGATAGTTTTTACATATTTTTGAAACAGGTTTCGAAGTGTTTTGGTTCTGTTATGCAAGATCTTTTTCGAATTTCCAAAGTAAAAGTTCGGTGCTAAGACAAGCTAGAGATACCTTTTAAATGTTTCTATTATTAATTAGAACAGGTTTTGCTTTAGTTTTTATATTTTACGCTGTCATTTATTGCTTTAAATCTTCCGAGTGCAAAAACGGAAAATTGGACCTTTTGAACTCCGGAGTCACAAAGAACAAAGGTGAATTTAGCAAGTTTACATTTTTATTGAAAGAGTGATTACTTTCGATCATTTTCAGCATGTTTTCATGATAATATAAGAATGGCTGTGCATTCACATTCAAATTTCAATGCAAATGACTTCATTTGACCTTTGACCCCAAATATCTCGAAAACTCTACGCCAAATTTTACTGCCTGCTAACAGGCAATGTAAAAAACACTGTGACAAGTAGCAATATTGTTTCTATGTCCGACTTAGAATGCCATATTCTAAATGAGCTTCCAGTAAACTCTTTGATTAAAAACTACTATAAATATGCACAACTTATAATGAATTTTAAAACACCTGTAGCTCTTTGACATTTCGTATACAGTATTCGTGTACAATCTGACATGACACATGTAAATAAATCCAAAGCATTATTGTCTCTTTATAAGTAGACTAAATGAAATATAATGTCTACTTACTTTCTTTTTAATATAATTATTCCTAATAAAAGAGTAGCAGCTAGAGAACCCTGAAAACATTGAATTGTACAATATAAAAGTATTTAAAACTTATAAATAATCAAAAATTTTAAATATACAATTGAATTAGCAATATGTCCCCTAAAAGAATCTTTGTTTTCCCGCACCATCCAGTATACCCAATTTAAATTGTCAAGTACTGCTCACCTCAAGGCGATTTGATGATGCAGTGGTAATTGATTGAAGGGGCATTAGGTAGGATTATTTTAGGCTAGCCTCGGTCGTCTTTACTAACAAACTCACTGCAACCTTCTGTCCCAAATTATGACTGGTTAACAGTCTGATCAACAACCAATACATTACCACGTAATAAAATCAATCGGGATTAACCTGAGCTCTAAATATGTTACTGTAAAGTGTCTGGTGACAATCGTGGCTACATTACATCATAACGCGAGAAATGTATTTCGCGCGAGTACATCACAGTATATTAAAGAGAAACTAATTTTATTGTGTGATAAACGAGGCTATCCAAAATAGCTACAATGTAAACATTGGGTAATCGCTGTGTAAACATGGAATCTTTATATTATCTCTTGGACCACACAGCAGACGAACAATATTTTCACCATCTTTTAATACATTTATAACGTCCATGATTTAATCAACTGTCCGAAGATCCCAAATCAAAGAGAAAGGCTGTCATGTTACATACTGTGTTTCAACAAACTGGGTAGAAAAAATACGACATGGGTCATTCCATATCAACTAGACCAATGGTGGAAACATGACCCCCTCCAAAACCAGCGGCTGCCAGGCAGGATACGCCCACATTTTCGAGAGATGGATAGAGAACAAGCTAAAAAGAAAGTGATTTTTCCTACAATCAAGGGCCATAATTCAGGAAATTACAATTCGATATGCGCAAATATGGAAAGGAACCGAAATCTTTGTGTTATAAACTTACATTTCAAGTTTCAACAAAATCGGATTAAAATTGTGACCTCTATAGGATCCACAGCCTCTATATACCATATTTTTACGCTATTTGAGAAAGAAGGGCGGCCATTTTGTCTGTCAGTTTTGGGTGTATTTTCACGAAATTCGAACTCAGCCGTCCTAAGGGTGTCACGGTGATATAATAATACGTTTTTTTAAATCGGATAAAAATTATGACCTCTATAGGGTTCACAATCAGGGGCCATAATTCAGGAAGTTATGGTCCGATATGCGCAAATATCGAAAGGAACCGAGATCTTTGGGTTATAAACTTACATTTCAAGTTTCAACAAAATCGGATAAAAATTGTGACCTCTATAGGGTCCACAACCTTGATATACCTTATTTTTACGCTATTTGAGAATGAACGGCGGCCATTTTGTCTGTCAATTTTGTGTTGATTTTCACAAAATTCGAACTCAGCCGCCCTTAGGGTGTAACAGTGATATAATAATACGTTTTTTTAAATCGGATAAAAATTATGACCTCTTTAGGGTCCACAAGCTAAAAACGCGATTTTTCGTACAATCAGGGCCATAATTCAGGAAATTACGGTCCAATGTGATGGAATATCGAAAGGAACCGAGATCTTTGGGTTATAAACTTACATTTCAAGTTTCAACAAAATCGGATAAAAATTGTGACCTCTATAGGGTCCACAACCTTGATATACCATATTTTTACGCTACTTGAGTACGAGGGGCGGCCATTTTGTCCGTCAGTTTTGGGCCGATTTTCACGAAATTCGAACTCAGTCGTCCTTAGGGTGTAACAGTGATACAATAATATGTTTTTTTAAATCGGATAAAAATTATGACCTCTATAGGGTCCACAACCTTGATATACCATATTTTTACGCTATGTGAGAACGAGGGGTGGCCTTTTTGTTTGTCAGTTTTGGGCCGATTTTCACGAAATTCGAACTCAGATGTCCTTAGACGTCTATAGGGTCCACAACCTTGATATACCATATTTTTACGCTACTTGAGTACGAGGGGCGGCCATTTTGTCCGTCAGTTTTGGGCCGATTTTCACGAAATTCAAACTCAGTCGTCCTTAGGGTGTAACAGTGATATAATAATACGTTTTTTTAAATCGGATAAAAATTATGACCTCTATAGGGTCCACAAGCTAAAAATGCGATTTTTTGTACAATCAGGGGACATAATTCAGGAAGTTACGTTCCCATATGCGCGAATATCGAGAGGAACCAAGATCTTTGGGTAACAAGCATACATTTCAAGTTTAAACCAAATTGGATAAAAATTGTGACCTCTACAGTGTTCACAAGCTAAAAAACGTGATTTTTCGTACAATCAGTGGCCATAATCCATGAAGTTACAATCCGATACATGCCAATATCGAAAGGAACCGAGATCTTAGGGTGATAAACCTATATTTCAAGTTTCGTTGAAATCAGATAAAAATTGTGACCTGTAGACTGTTCACAAACAATTGTGGATGGACGGACGGACGGACGGACAGGGGCGACGACAATATACGTCCACATGAAAATGTGGGCGTATAAAAATATATGTTATAGTATATTGCCTTAAACTAAGAAATATGAAATTTAACCTCTCTAGGTTGGAAACTCGCTAAGATATGGCCATTTGAAATCAGGGCACTGAAACGGATCATAAATTCAGTAATTTTTTCAACAAAATCGGATAAAAATTGTGACCTCTATAGGGTCCACAACCTTGATATACCATATTTTTACGCTATTTGAGAACGAGGGGTGGCTTTTGTGTCAGTCAGTTTTGGGCCGATTTTCACGAAATTCAAACTCAGACGTCCTTAGGGTGTAACGGTGGTATAATAATATGTTTTTTTAAATCGGATAAACATTATGACCTCTATACATGTAGGTCCACAAGCTAAAAACGTGATTTTTCGTACAATCAGGGGCCATAATTCAGGAAGTTACGGTCCATCCACATTTGTTCCACATTTTGCCACCTGGTGGCATGAAAAGTATGCATTGGACAATGAGTGTGATGCTAAATTCATAATCTACACCAAAAGTCGTCTTAGATTACAAAGGTAGAGAGTTCTACTCCTATTAGAAATGTGAGTTTAAAGCACCCGAAAACCTGAAAAAAATGACCGAATTTATGGTCCGTTTCATTACCCTAATTTCAAATGGCCATACCTCAGCGAATGTTCTGCCTAGAGAGGTATAATTTTGGATTTGTTATTTTTTATAATTTTTTTGGAGGGGGACACGTTCCCAACTTTCTGAAATTTGGTCCACTTGACATGGAATGACTCACATGTGCTTTTTTTGATAAAAACATAATTCATGGGTTTTCTTCACAAAAATGGATAAATATTATGGAATACTTAAAGGTAGGCAGTAAAGCCATTAATAATTGGTATAAACAGACACGTTTATAGAATTTATATCAGAGATTTGGGTCAAAGAATTTTGGTTACAAATAGCAAGTTTCAGCAACGACCAAATTTACCGATGCAAGTATCAATGTTTGCTCCAGATGCATCGAAAGTTAAAAATTTTCTTTTTTTAAAAAGAGGTCACCCCATTAAGCGGCCAGTCATGAAAATTCCCTTTATTTTACTGTACTCAGGAGAGATTTGATTGGAAGATGAGAATGGACACACTTCGTCAAAAATTCAAGTTTTCAGTCTCGGTACAGCAATGGCTAGAGAGGGATTTCTCGGGCCATTGCTTCAGGAATTGTGAGAACCAGGCTTTCAGCATGTAATTGTATATGACTTTAATCGCTGTCCATTTCCGATAAATATTGAAATATATGTAAATTCCTGGATTATCCTCTGCCAACTTCATTTTTTGCCATTGATTCACTGAGTCTACTGGATGTTTAATTGTCTCAATTGTCTCACAACTGTTAGCCACTAGATCAACACATAGCAAATGCTCCTTACATCGCTCGAAGAGCCAGGCTGCCATTCAGGGGTACATTCACATTTGGGTGTCTCTACTTTCCATAATAAATACTTTCGTGAGAATGTAAACTGTATCTTTAAATGCACCCACTGGAAATACGAGCACAATGCATAGTTTTCTGGCATCAAATAGACTATTTTTTTAATGTTTTAGTCTATAAAGCTATAATTTGATAATTCTTGTAACTATGGATTAATAAATCAACTTACAGATCTGAATATCATATGTAATGGCATTGATATGTTGAAATTAAAAGCTAAATTATTGACGACTTGTACTATAAAAAACATTGACACCATTGAAACATAGTAACTGAAACGAAAATATATACAATAGTGAGAGAAAGTGAAATGATCTCAATGTAGGGTAAAACATTATTTGCACACACAACCTATTTTCGACAAACATATAGAGAAAGCATACAAGCTTATTTCAAGCTAGACCTCTTTGATTTTGATAGAAAATCAGACTGAAAATTTCACGTTAAACCCAGCATTTTGACATATAACCTATTTTGTTTTCCACTGCCAACACAGTAAGCAAGCCCACTTCTTATCTTTCAAAACACAAATTTAACCATATAGAACTTGACCTATTACTTGAAATTACACAATGACAGATCAACCAAATGTATATTTTGCCATAAATCAGAGTAGTTTACATGTAGATCCTTTCAGCAAATGCCAATGGAAACAGGGTACAATCCACCAAAGGAAACGGATACTGGACCTATCATTGCAGCAAATAAAATTTCAATTGCGGAAATACAGTAAACCTCGCATAAGTTGGATTCGTGTAAGTCGGATCTTTGCTCAACTCGAATAAAATCGTTTGGACCCTTTGATCCTGCACGTTTTTCTTACTAAATTTCTGCACGCAAGTCGGATCTTTGCTCTGGCTTTTTGACTTCACTGTTGTAAGTGGGATCGGCAGTATGTTCAGAATTTGACTAAGTCAGTTTCGTCCCGTTAGGTATTCCATACACAGAGCCTCCAAATACTTTCACCTATCATTTTGACTGAAATTAGCCTATTTGACGCGACGCAATAATAGAATTTTTCCGGAAAATTCGAAACTAGGGGTCTGCTGTATGAGACACTTCCCGGGAAAATTTAAGACATTTTTCAAAGATTTCAACACACTACCGTCGACATGGCGACAAAACGGAAGTTATCTACTCACACATACGAACAAAAGCTTGAAATCATCTAATACGGCGAAAAAAATCCAGGTATGAAGAAAAGGGACATTGCTCTTCATTTTGACATTAGCCCTCAAACTTTTGGTGACATTCTGAAGAACAGAAACAAAATCAAGGATGTGTGTGCCAGTGATGACAAGTCCTCATCATTTGCAAAATGACAGACCTAGACCTATCACCCATCCACAGGTTGACCAAGCACTTCTCCTGTAGCCCGACAGATTTCGGTTTGACCTGATATCCGATTTGATGGAAGCATGCTACTAGAAAAGGCAAAGAAGTTCCAAGGCCAACTTCCAGATGAGTCCCACGAAGAGATAAATATGGCATGGGTGGATCGATTCAAGAAAAGGTATGGGCTTAGTAAAGTGCACAAAGCAGGTGAATCTGGTGGCGTTGATGTAGAAGTTGTGCGGGAGTGGAAGGAAGGCAAACTTACAGAAAATTTTTAAGTCTTACGCACATAAAGACATTTATAATGCTGACGAAACAGGCCTATTTTGGTTGCCACTTTCAGATAACTCACTGGGCTTTTCTGGTCAAAGTCACAACGGCGCTAAACAACCAAAATCCCGAATAACGGTACTAGTCGGGGCTAATATGGATGGCTCTCATAAATTACCTCTGTATGTTATTGGTAAATCACAGAAGCCCATGGAATTTAAAAATGTCATGGTGCCTGTACAGTGCTGTGTTCGAAAGCTGGCTACGTAGGTTGGATCGAAAATTGAGGTTGGAAGATCGGAAAATTGTGATGGTGATTGATAATTGTCCGGCACACCCAACAATACACCCAAGAAACATAGAATTGGTATTTCTTCCGCCAAATACGACCAGCCACACACAACCAATGGACAGTGGGATCATAAAAAATCTCAAGTACCACTACAGAAGAATGTTGGCCATCAAACGACGAAGAGGAGGTTGTTGTAATCCCGGAAGCTCAGGATACAGAAGATCGGAACATATGGGAGCATTTACACACGGTTTATGGAGATGCTGTCCCGAATGATATGAATGAGTATTTGAGTGTCGATGACGACGTCCAAACATCTGCTATACTTGACGACGACCAGATTGTCGCAATAGTTGTTTCTGATGACAGTGGCAATGTCGAGGATGCTGGAAGTACTGATGAGGACAGTGAAGTATAAGTAAAAGATCCAGTAAAGCCGAGTGATGTCTTCTCTGCACTCATAACACTGCAGATGTACGTCTACAGAAATGTGCAGATTTAGATGTCATTCTGATGAAACAGTCGGGAAAGTGCGGCAAGCAATCTAATCTAACAGACTTTATCGAACATTGAATTAAATGTTCAATATTGTTCAGATTTAGAGTCTAGAGGCCTCTGGAAGCCAGATAGAGGTCATTCGGATGAAACAGTTTGTTAAACGTGCCAAGTAACCTAAACTAACAGACTTTTTTGCATATTGAATGTTCGATATTCATTTCATCAATAACCAGCGGCTGGCAGGCAGGATACGCCCACATTTTTGAGAGATGGATAGAGAACAAGCTAAAAAGAAAGTGATTTTTCCTACAATCAAGGACCATAATTCATGAAGTTACAATTCGATATGCGCAAATATCGAAAGGAACCAAGATCTTTGGGTTATAAACATGCATTTCAGGTTTCATCAAAATCGGATTCAAATTGTAACCTCTACAGGGTTCACAACCTTGGTATACCATATTTTTACATCTTTCGCGTACAAGCGGTGGCCACTTTGTCCGGCAGTTTTGGTTTGATTTTCAGGAAATTTGAACTCAACTTTTATTATGGTCAGGGTGTTACGGTGATATATTCAAACGATTTTTAAAATCAGATAATAACTGTGACCTTCAGAGGGACCACAAGCTAAAAGAGGCGATTTTTCGTATAATCAGGGGCCATAATTCATGAAGTTACGATCCGATATGCGACAATATCGAAAGGAACCGAGATCTTTGGGTTATAAACTTATATTTCAATTTTCAACAAAATCGGATAAAAGTTGTGACCTCTATAGGGTCCACAAGCTAAAAACGTGATTTTTCGTACAAACAGGGGCCATAATCCATGAAGTTTCGATCCGATACATGCCAATATCGAAAGCAGTCAAGATCTTTTGGGGATAAACCTATATTTCAAGTTTCGTCAAAATTGGACAAGAATTGTGACCTGTAGAGAGTCCACAAACAAATTGTGGACGGACAGACATCCGGGGCGACGACAATATACGTCCACATGAAAATGTGGTCGTATAAAAATACCCTTTTATGCCTGTATTTTCGATAAATGTGCCTTTGAATCAATTATTATCCAGCTCTTGCAGTTTATTTCTAATCGAGTTAAGATTGAATTTTGATCTTTGGCTAACTCGGATCTTCGCTTAACTCAGACAAAATTGGTCAGTCCACTTACATGTAGATCCGACTTATGCGAAGTTTACTGTATTTAGAAGAAAAGACTATAGAATGTTTGTCTAAATTGGACATTTGTTTCATTATAATTTAACTACTAGGTAAGACTAAGAGTTGCCGGGAATATGTTTTAGCACCAGTAACTGGTAAAACAAGCCAACAGTGAGGCTGATGTCCCCCGCCGAAATAGGAAAATAATTAGAGGACACATATAAAAATCAAATTGCGTATCGCTCTGCTTACCCTGAGCAGAAAATGCTCATTATCAAACTTAGTCAAGGTATTACTGTAATGAAACTATACACCAAGTTTCATCAATCTCACTTAATTAGAACTAAAGTTATCGTGTCCCAAAGCATCAACCAATCAAATTGCTTATCTCTGCTTACCCTAAGCGGAAAATGCTCATCTTCGAACTCCATCAAGGCATTGACCTAATCAACACATACACCAAGTTTGAACATTCTAGCTCAATTAGGAAGAGAGTTATCGTGCCCCAAAGTATCAACCAATCAAATTGCTTATCTCTGCTTACCCTAAGCGGAAAATGCTCATCTTCGAACTCCATCAAGGCATTGACCTAATAAACACATACACCAAGTTTGAACATTCTAGCTCAATTAAAAGTTATCGTGTCCCAAAGCATCAACCAATCAAATTGCTTATCTCTGCTTACCCTAAGCGGAAAATGCTCATCTTCGAACTCCATCAAGGCATTGACCTAATCAACACATACACCAAGTTTGAACATTCTAGCCCAATTAGGAAGAGAGTTATCGTGTCCCAAAGCATCAACCAATCAAATTGCTTATCTCTGCTTACCCTAAGCGGAAAATGCTCATCTTCGAACTCCATCAAGGCATTGACCTAATAAACACATACACCAAGTTTGAACATTCTAGCTCAATTAGGAAGAGAGTTATTGTGTCCCAAAAAGTGTGACGGACAGACAGACGGACAGACAGACGGACGAACCCATTTTAATAGTCCCCTGCTTTCTTCGAAAGGTGGGGGACAATAAATGAATGGTGATAAGTTTTACTGAACATTTCGATCAGCGAAGTACCCAATAAATAAAACTTCTATGTAACAGCCCATCTTTTTAAAAAAAATTTTTTTTTAAAAATAGTGGAAACCGTAATTCACTCACTATTATGAATTTAGTGCATTTCATAAATGACATTACATGTATTAATAATATTTATGAGGTCTCTCTATGTGACATTTTTATTTTCAAAAACAATCTTAATTTTCAAGTAAAATATTTTGTACTATTAATAGTATTAAACTGTTTTCACATTATTTTCAAAAGTTTTAAGATGAGAAATCTTACCATAAAACATTGTATGTAGAGCCGTTAATAGATGCAATTAATTCAAAGTAACAAAAAAGGAAGCTTAGTATTAAATGAGATGATATGTACATCATGTATATTATGAACAAAAGAAATAAAAATTCTATACCACTGTACAACAATGCTATACAGAAATTCATTATGGGCATGCTCGATTGAACGTTCCGGAATTGAATTCTGTCAAACCCAAAAATAGTACCAATCGAGTGAAAATGGGAATTTGGGGCTAGAACGCATGCGCTGACTGCATGAGAAAATATCTCAAGCAACCATGACAGATGAAACATATTCATTGTGGTTAATTACGTCACGATTCTACTCACACCACCTCCATTGTCGGGACTGGCAGAAACTGTTCCAGGACTGAATTTTGCATCACATGATAGCAATTCCGAAAATTCAGAACATTCTGGACTGATAATTGACCATCCCTAATCAAGCATCCCTATAACTAGTTTGTGAAGGGGGGTAACTCTATTTTGGCACGTCCAGGACTTTAGACATCCACAGTCTTCACTACATAATCATAATCAGCGACATGTCTAATCAACTGATGTGATTTCACATTATAAAATATTTACTAACAGTTAAATACTGGCTGAGATAATGTGTCAGTTGATAATGCCAATGCCCAATGGTACTTCGGTCATTCTATGCCAAGTATAAATCCATATTTTACAAGACTACAACATACATGTTCATGTACTTATACCGGTAATTTATATTTAATATTCACACATGTATATTAACTCACTGCAGTGTTGTAAAGAATATATTTATAAATAAAAATCAATAATAAATAACATTGTTACCGGTATCATTAATCAATATTTCATAATACATGTGGATACAAACATTTTAAATTAACTATTATGATTTGGATTACGGTATTTTTATAATGGTTATTGTGTATTTTACATACCTAAAAGGTACCACTGCCTTTTTCATTCCAAACTTACTAGTAAATATAAAACCTTCTAAAGCAATAAACAGAAACTGAGAAAAGGTTACTATATTGCCACTTCCTGGATATTCACTGAAAATAAAATAAATAAGCTTACATATTTTCAAAATTTAGCGAATACGACCTAATATTTGAGGATTACTACCTGCCATATTTGACAAATTCAGTTGTTTTTTTTAAAATTTCTGTTGTGGTATTGCCCTACAGTACACTAGAACTTGGGGTTAAGCATCCTACTTTTCTGAACCATCCCAACTTTAAAACATGAGTCGAGATACATGTACAAGAATAAAATTGATATTGTTGTTTTGTTAATCAATTTTTTTTTCTTTTATTTTAAATAATAATAATACAAAAACATTTCTTAATACATAAATTAAATATGTCTAAAAATACATGTGTAGACAATATATACTCTTCAAAAAAAGTAGCGGATACTGAAATGCAAATAGATGCAGGTTGTGATATGATAAATAGTCATGGACACTTGACATGCTTTGAGAGTACTGGTATGTTCACAGATGAAGAACTTATCGCCCCAACAGAACCACTGAACTGCATGTGCGACACGCAATAGCGCCATACACATGGTAGGGGTTCATTGTCAAATTTGACACTTCAAGGAAGGGTTGATGAAAACTGCCGCGTGCTGGTTTATCCTATCCATGTTTGCTTTCCTATTGGTTCTTGCATAAGATTTACTGTTTAGCATATCTTTGCTTTAGTATGTTACGTTTAATTTGATTGGGAGACGTGTTCGTCGACGTCAACCGACAACACTGCAAGAATTGGCCGTGGCACTACCAGAAGAGTGAGTCAGATTGGCCCAAATCGTGATTGATTAGGAGCATGCCATGATGAATTGCTGAATGTCTGAGGATTGGTGGAGCAACAAGCCAATAGTGAGGCTGATGTCCCCCGCTGAAATCCCAAAATAAATAGATGACACATATTAATTAATCGCATATTTTTTTTTTTCAAAAGTATCAAGCAATCAAACTGATTATCAACTATACACTAAGTTTCATCACTCTCTATCAGACAGAATCAAAGTTATCTTGTCCCAAAGCATCGATCAATAAAATTGCTTAGCTTAGCTTAGCTGTAGCTCAAAATGTTAATTATTGAACACAGTCAAGACATTCACCTAATGAATATCTACATCAAGTTTAAACATTCTACCTCAATTAAAGGCAGAGTTGTTACATTCCAAAGTCTTGACCAATCAAATTGCTTATCGCTCCTTAGCCTAAGCAGAAAATTCTCATCATCAAACTTAGTCAAGGTAATGATATAATCAATCTATACTCAGAGTTTCATCACTCTCACTTACTTATAGCCTAACCAAAGTTATCGTGTCCCAAAGCATCAGCCATTCAGATTGCTTAGCTCTGTTTACAGTAAGCAGACAAGACTATGTTTATCATCGAACTCCATCAAGGCATTCACCTAATGAATGCCTACACCAAGTGTGAACATTCTAGCTCAATTATAATGAGAGTTATTGTGTTCCAAAGTCTCGACCAATCAAATTGCTTATCGCTCTGCTTACCATGAGCAGAAAATGCCCATTATCGAACCTAGTCAAGGTATTGATGTAATAAAACTATACAACAACTTTCGTCACTCTCACTTAATTAGAAATGAAATGAAATGGAGTTTAACGTCCTACTGTTTTGCTCCAAACTGGGCTAATGAAGACGGGCATACGCCATACAGTGTGCTATGAGGGAAATTTTGCCCGGACAGCGGCACTACAGCCTACTCTTATATCGAATTCCAACTGTCAAGGGATCTTTTAAGCGCACGCCAATGTGTACACAGGACCTCGGTTTTCCATTTCATCCGAATGACTAGACAGCTGTCCTTGTCAGGCCCTCCTTCCTGCAACACTGACAAGGGGGAACCACGCCGGAAAATCTGGGTGAACTTTCTCGGCCAATGCAGGGATCGAACACCCGACCTCCAGGCTAGTGTCTTACCCACTTAGCCACCGTTACCCCCCAAACTAAAGTTATCCAGTCCCAAAAAGCATCAACCAATCAAATTGCTTATCTCTGCTTACCCCAAGCAAAAATGCTCATCTTGAAACTCCATCAAGGCATTGACGTAATAAACACATACACCAAGTTTGAACATTTTAGCTCAATTAGAAGGAGAGTTATTGACCTAATAACACCCACGCCAATTGTGAACATTCTAGCTCAATTATAATGAGAGTTATTGTGTTTCAAAGACTCAGCCAATCAAATTGCTTATCCCTCTGCTTACCCTGAGCAGAAAATGCTCATTATCGAACTTTGTCAAGGTATTGATGTAATGAAACTATACACCAAGTTTCATCACTCTCACTCAATTATCCCTCATAGCACACTGTATGGCGTATGCCCGTCTTCATTAGCCCAGCTTAGAAGCAGAACAGTAGGACGTTAAACTCCATTTCATTTCATTTCATTTCTCACTTAATTAGAACTAAAGTTATCGTGTCTAAAAGCATCAACCAATCAAATTGCTTATCTCTGCTTACCCTAAGAAGAAAAATGCTCATCTTTGAACTCCATCAAGGCATTGACCTAATAAACATTTACACCAAGTTTGAACATTCTAGCTCAATTAGAAGGAGCGTTATTGTGTGCCAAAAAGTGTGACGGACAGACAGACGGACGGACAGATGAATGAGCCCATTTTAAGAGTCCCTTGCTTTCTTCGAAAGGCGGGGGACAAAAAAAAGGAAATAACTAGGGAGTAATTAATATGTATTAAGCTGTTAACTCTTGCATCTACAGTTCCTATTTTATACAAACCTTCAAAATATGTCTGAAAATTAAAATACGAGTTAGCCCCAGCCATAATAACAACATAATTCAAAATATAACAAAGCATCAACCAATCAAATTGCTTATCTCTGCTTACCCTAAGCGGAAAATGCTCATCTTCGAACTCCATCAAGGCATTGACCTAATCAACACATACACCAAGTTTGAACATTCTAGCCCAATTAGGAAGAGAGTTATCGTGTCCCAAAGCATCAACCAATCAAATTGCTTATCTCTGCTTACCCTAAGCGGAAAATGCTCATCTTCGAACTCCATCAAGGCATTGACCTAATAAACACATACACCAAGTTTGAACATTCTAGCTCAATTAGGAAGAGAGTTATTGTGTCCCAAAAAGTGTGATGGACAGACAGACGGACAGACAGACAGACGGACGAACCCATTTTAATAGTCCCCTGCTTTCTTCGAAAGGCGGGGGACAATTACTCATTATTAAGACAAAAATCAAAAATGTCCATTTTCACTTTTGAAGGTGTATCTCTTTGCGAGTGAAATGGGGACGTCAATATGAACTGTTTATGCAATTGGCATTTCCACAGTTTTGTATTGTTTCTGAATATCCCCTACTTTTTTTAAAGAGTATAATACAATGCAATAAACAAGCCAACAGTGAGGCTGATGCCCCCCGCCGAAATAGGAAAATAATTAGAGAGTTATTGTGTTCCAAAGTCTCAGCAAATCAAATTGCTTATCGCTCTGCTTAATCTGAGCAGAAAATGCTCATTATCGATCTTAGTCAAGGTATTACTGTAATGAAACTATACACCAAGTTTCATCACTCTCACTTAATTAGAACTAAAGTTATAGTGTCCCAAAGCATCAACCAATCAAATTGTTTATCTCTGCTTACCCTAAGCGGAACGGACAGACAAACAGACAGACGGACGAACCCATTTTAATAGTTCCCTGCTTTCTTCGAAAGGCGGGGGACAATAAGCATGAACATTTACTCAATTCGAAGATCAACCAATCAAATTGTTTATCTCTGCTTACCATAAGCGGAACGGACAGACAGACAAACAGACAGACGGACGAACCCATTTTAATAGTTCCCTGCTTTCTTCGAAAGGCGGGGGACAATCAAAGTAGGAGAGTTATTGTTTTCCAAAGTCTCGACCAATCAAATTGCGTATCGCTCTGCTTACCCTGAGCAGAAAATGCTCATTATCAAACTTAGTCAAGGTATTACTGTAATGAAACTATACACCAAGTTTCATCAATCTCACTTAATTAGAACTAAAGTTATCGTGTCCCAAAGCATCAACCAATCAAATTGCTTATCTCTGCTTACCCTAAGCTGAAAATGCTCATCTTCGAACTCCATCAAGGCATTGACCTAATAAACACATACACCAAGTTTGAACATTCTAGCTGAATTAGGAAGAGAGTTATCGTGTCCCAAAAAGTGTGACGGACAGACAGACGGACAGACAGAAGGACAGACAGACGGACAGACAGACAGACAGACAGACGGACGAACCCATTTTAATAGTCCCCTGCTTTCTTCGAAAGGCGGGGGACAATAAAATACATGTACTTAAATATATTATACACTCTACCGGGGTTGATCATCAAATTGATATTGTTGTTTTAATAAATTGATGGTTGTGTTTCATTGTTTGTATTAATGTTTTAGTACTTTGCTGTTTTAACAGATATTGGTAGTTGTGTTCGTTTCATTATTTGATCATGAAGCACTTCGAAGAAAATCAATTAACAAAACATTGATATATAACTAAACTGAGTAGTAGTACTCATACACGGCTGTGCTTTCCATCAGGGTCAGGCAGTTTAGAGAAAGATCCAAGAAAACAGACCTCATGTATGTTACTTTAACCCTTTCATTCTGTCTACCCGGTAGTACTGGGTATTGTAAAATGTTGTTAAAATACGCGTACCCGGTATTACCGTGTACTCAGTCAAGCCCCCGCTAAAATTAGTACCGTAACTGCAAGTGCCATCTATTTTATTTTCTATACACTAGAACATATTTCCACGTGTTTCAAAGCGGCAAACCGTAAAATGGCGGAGTGCATAGTGGCAACGTAGACGATGCACTCTCGACGAAGTCGTGAATGACATCTTGCAAACCAACACGTGGACAATTTGGAGGCGGGTGATACACATAATTCGTTTCCAGTTACTTGATAATGATAGTAGTGCGGACAGTGATTGGTATTATGAAGTACGTGTGTGATTTGTTGCGTGACGTTCCGCCTATGGCTATGTCTCCCG